AAAAACGCATAAAAATGAACTGGACCAAGCACTAGCTTAAGTGGTTCACGAACAAACCCAAATTAAAACTGACTTGTCCTCTTTCTGGCTTCAGTATGTTTTCGAATACTGAAGACACATAAACAGAGCATAAGATCTGGAGAATCTTTCAGCTGGAAAAGAACTCAACAGCGAAAAAAAAAACAGGCTGTATGACAAATTTATGAGAAAAACAAAAACTTGGCGTACATCTCGGCCAAAGAAGCGAAAAAAAGCGTCGAACAAGGCAAGGTGAGGGTTTAAATGAGGGAAACTGGATTGTACGGTGCTAAATTCACTTATACGTAACAAATTCAAACCGTTTTTTCGAAATCCGTTAACTTTATCGTCATTTTTTATGCGTTTTGTGTTGTGCAATAACTATACAAAATGCATATTATCACTCTTTCTGTGGCTGTGTAAATGCATGTGTGTGTGTGTTTGTGTAAATGTGTGTGCGTGTTTGTGTAAATGTGTGTGTTTGTGCGTAGGTGCGTGTTTCTGTGTATGTGTTCCTCGACCAGCTGTGAAGCCAAGGCAGATTTTGCATACCTTGACGGCTCTTTGCTTAGCTGCTCTGACGAATGCATATAAAATTTAATACGTAGTCTTCTACAAGCTGATAAATTTCAAAGGTACATAAACAAGTTCTTATGTTATGTAGCGAATATAGCCTCATTTGCTAATATGTGAACTGGAAAGAAAACTGAACTTTTTTCATCATCATCATTGCATTCTTGGAATTGTGATGTATCAACCAATACACTACGGGCTGTGCTTCATCAAATATAACTAGAGAATTATTTATATATATATATATACATATATATATGTATATATATATGTATATGTATATATAGTTTGTGTGTGAATCTTCATCCAAATCTCTTACAGGTAGAAAAACTTCATTGATTTCATGGCAGCAAATTCATGGATTTTTGTCAAATATTTGTTAATACAGACAGGCAGAAACGATATACCTCCGAATTCTTTTCGCCCTTGTCACGATTCACCGCTGGGCCTTTTTTCTTTTGGCGTAATTTGGTGGCTGCAGCAGATGCAATAGCATTACCGCTTTCTTCATGGTCGAACTCGCGAAGAACCTGCAAGAAGACGGCTGTGCGGCACTTGACGACGCACAATCGCTAGGTCTTTCTGACGGGAAAGTATTAGCTTTACCTCTGATTGTGTGTTGCATACGGCGCAGTAAAAGAATCCGTCGACAAGAGTGAAGTCTGTTGAACCGCAACTGCGACAACATCCAGACATCTGTAAGTAGCATAATACCGACACCACGAATCCAGAAGTCCTGAAAAAAGATATGGCTCATTAGCGCTCACCAACAAGGGATCTCGAATACAAACAACAAAATCTCAAAACGGCTGAAATGAAGTGAGGTGCTCCTGCTGTAAAGCAGCTGTGATGCTAATCATTTCAAAAACAGAAACAAACGTTAGAACCGCCAGAAAAGTGAACTGATCAGCAGGAGTTACAGTACTGGTCAAAACAACTGGAAAAGTTGCTAGATGCGAATTATGAATTACAGCTAACATAAATGTTCCAAATGAAAGCCACATAGCTGAATCCACTAAAGCGAACAAGGAAGCTGCGACCATGCTGTTCCTACAACGACGCTTGCTGCGCTCTCAAGGAGCTCCTAACTCCCTTACTGCCCTAAGGAACTCCCGCACTGTCCAACGGTGAATCAGGATCTGTTGCTAGCTGCCTCAAAACAAGTACCATAGTCACTTC